CATACGTGTTTAATGAAAGATTAATGAGTTTCAGTCAATTTACGAGTACTATATTATCTCTTAAAATAACGAGCTTAAAGTTTAATTACTTTGAACGGTTTTATGTAGGAAATTGTTCTTATGTCATAATTTCTTAGCGTAATTTAATATAAATATAATGATAAAGTTACTGAAAGGAATAGCTGAATATTGTTAAATATCACTCAAATTTTTATAACAAGCGTACAGTTCCCATTGTTGTTTTACAAAACTTCGGGCGAAAATTAATTGCGTAATTAATTGAATATAATAAAAATAAAACCTTGTTAATGTACCTATAGGAAATAATACGATTACTTTATTTCCTTTAGTTCGTGTACTTGTTAAATCAGACTTCATTTTTTTCATATAAAAATATGTAGTAGGTGCCGAATTTCAGTGTAGGCACCAAAAAGAGTGTAATTTTTGAGAAGAAAGATATTTTTTTATAAATTCAATGAGTGATATTTGTGAAACTAAAAAAGCCTTACTGATAAAAGTTATTTTTCCTATTATTTTCGGGAATGTGTAGACGTATAGTGCTAGAGTTATGTAACACTGCTAAGATTTGGTCGATTGTTTTATAAATTCTGTAGGAAGAACGAGAATCGACTTTATATATATATAGTTAAGTATGCAGGTACGTAGACCCTGCCCAGTATGGGCGGGGGCCCTGAAGGCCAGCAACGTCGCGATACTGCGACGACCGCAGCGAATGCTGGCCATCAGGATCATAAGGGGGTACCGCACGATCTCCTTCGAGGCGGCGAGTCTCCTGGCCGGAACTCCACCGTGGGACCTGGAGGCGAGAGCCCTTGCGGCACTGTATCAGTGGCGCAAGGAGGCGCAGGAGTTGGGTCGATGCCCCGAGATTCGAGAAATCGATGACCGGAAATCCCAACTCCGCCAGGTCATCATAGGGGAGTGGAGGGAACGACTCGGGCAACCGAGCGCCGGGCACGCCGTCATTGCGGCGGTAAGACCCGTTATGGAGGATTGGCTCGAGAGGCGTCACGGGACCCTCTCATACCGATTGACGCAGGTGATCACTGGGAAGGGATGTTTCGGAGATCACCTGTGTCTGATCCGCAAGGAGCCAACGCCTGAGTGCCACCACTGCGATGGCCAGACCGTGGACACGGTTCTCCACACGCTGGCAGAGTGCCCGGCGTGGGTTGAGCAGAGGCGAGACCTCGTGGCGGCCATCGGAGTGGGAGTTCTCTCGCTCGATAGCCTGATTGCGGCTATCGTGCGGAGCGAGAGTGCGTGGAACTCTGCCGTCTCCTTCTGCGAGCAAGTTATGCTCGCGAAGGAGACGGCGGAGCGGGACCGGGAGAGGTTTAGAACTCTCCCGGCCCGCCAGGCCCGGGCACGGGCCAGGCAGCGCAGGCGACTCAGGCGCCGGAGGTCGCAGAACGACCTCCGTCCTCCATAAGCGCAGGCCTGGGGGTGACAGGTGAGGCCATCTGTCACCCTAGCAGAAGCAGGCCGGGGTGGCGGCGAGCGCGTTGCGAAGCGCGCTCGCTTCCAGGGAGCACAGGGAACATGGGGTTCCCACACGGGGCGGGGGTCGTCTACTCGTCTATAGATGACCCGAGGTATGTCGGGGCACCAGGGCCTTCCTTTCTAGGGTATACCTGGTTCCCCGGCTATTAGTACCCGGCGAAGGCGTGCGGTTTTAGTCCAGGTGGTATCCGAGGGGATTTCCGCACGGAAAGAAAAAAAAAAAAAAAAAAAAAAAGGTACGTAGACCCCAAAAAAAAATTTTTGAATAAAATAAATAAATTAAAAAATATATAATGCTCCCAAAATTTAATAACCTTCTTGTAAAAATAAATTTTAAAACATTATTTAGTCCTCTTATTTTTTTCGGGCCTAGTGTGGCTTTCATAACAATCACATGTATATGACGGCATGGTCGCCATAGAAAATAAAACGGTATTCGTAATTAAACTAAAACTGACATGTTGGTAAATTATAATTTTACTATTTTTGTAATTTATAAACTTAACTTAAAATGACTGTAATATAAAATGTAATGTAGTGCAAACTAATAATATAATAAATTTAATTATAATATGAAGACATTACTTTCCATTTTCAATCAACAATTTTCGTATCTAAGTGGAGGCATTTCACGGAGTAAACTGACGTACGTCTAACCTTAAACAAGGCTCAGCGGGCACTGACCGGCGAACTTTGCCGCCAAGTGTTGCCAACAGTTAAATGAACTCTCCACCAACGAAAAACGGCTACTCTAATAAGCTCTAAATTTTAATATTAATACTAATCGTTTTTCTCAGCACCATCATCGTCGGTTCCAGATTAATACGATTCTTTGGTACCGATTTCTTTTACAACGTTTATGGGCATTTCATATTTGTTGCAGCATTCTCCTTCCAACTTCAAATCACATCGTATTTTTTAATATAGCAAATGAAAGATTTAACTTAATTGTATTCCTCTGTTTATTCCTGTAGTCACCTGTAGAAATAAGGCAGTATTAAGAGAGTAATACCAAAGGTAGCTAATTCCTCAAATATCGAAGTCCCTTGGCCCCTTGGGCATCTTTGTAGTGGAATACCTCTAGTATGTCCTTATTGTAAGTTCCTTAACACGTTGGGCATTTTTTTTCATCATTTCTCTTCTGCTACTCAACCGGATCATTTAACATATAGTCATACATAGTCTGTGCGTTCTGAGGACATCAAAAAGATCATCCTGTCTGTCTGTTGTAACGCAATGGTTTGCAAGCCGTAGGATAATAGTATTATCCTGGATTACGTCCTCGAAGTTATAGCCTATTATTAGTTATAGAGGAAAAGGTTTCGGAGTCGAGAAAGAAGTCAATAATGTATTGACTTCTTTCTCGACTCCGAAACCTTTTCCTTCCTCTGGCACAAAACCTACATCATCCCATTGCCTAAAATCAATAATCCTTCTCTTCTTGAGCACTTCTATGCAATCTCCATCCATTCTTTCCTATTAAGCGTTCTTGAGGGTTACAAAAACAATTTTCACAGTTCATCTTTCAAAAGCATTTCCTAAGGCCTCTACAATCTTACTATTATTACCAAATCCCTAAAAAATCCACTAGAAGTAAATTTCACCACTAAAAGGGGGGTCGAAACCGCCAGTTTTAGTAGGAAATCCACTAGGTTGGCAACACAGTCGGCGCCGTAAGCAATCGCAACACCATATTTTTGGTTTCTTTTATTACTATATAAAAATGAGTCTTTTCTAATCGTTAAAATATATGTTTATATAGTATATGGTATAAATTTAACCTGAATCCATTTTGGTATTTCATAGCAATTTCCCTTTCAAATCGTGAGTTAGTGTTATGTTTATGATATTTTTTTATTGAGCCATATTCCATAAATCATGTTTCTATCTTTACAGATCGTTAGGTTATATGTTTGATTTTAATGGAATATTTATTTTTATGCACAAAATGTTCTTATTAGTGGATTTATTTCTGTTAAAAAGTAAAAAACCTTTAGGAAACAGATCATAAAACATAACTATTAAGTACATGGCCCAAAACAAAAATGCTAACACGAATACTCGGAATGTGTGGCTAACGTAGCGGGTATTCTTCTTAAAAAAGTTATACTAAGCCTAAGATCAACTAAAAAAGTTAAGATGGAACTTTGCGAAGAACGAAGTGACATTGGTTTTATAAACATGTATGCGTGGGCCATTTTAATTTAATTTTATTGAAAATATTGGTTTCTACGCTTATTTTTCTTTGTACTAATTCCTCCCACACCTACCTACCTACCACTGTAACTCCTGTACACCAGAATCAACAGCAGTGACCCACGAACACACCGAGTTATGATACTCGGGCAGTCTTGGAACCCGTAACGAAATTAATCAGAAAAAAATTGGAGGAGTTGGAAATACAATAAATCCACTTCCTTAGCACAGCGGGAGACTAAATTAAGTAGAATAGGCATATACCCATTTAAACAGAGAAGCACCACGGCCACACAATATTATGGGTCCTAAGTGAGTCTTTAAGTAAACTCTATTTTAAATTTTTATAATAAGTATGGCAGAATCGCCTAAACGCACGGAAATTCACCCTAGATGACACAAGATCCCCATAGTATACCACCCCAGATGTCACCTGTAAGCTATTCAGCATTATATGACGTTCATTATACCAAAGACTATACATTACCAGACTATAGATTCGCAGATCATATGATGAGCAGATTGTTCCCAGTTAGAGTTAGGTATTGAGCATTGACATAATGGTGACTGGACTAATTTAAATGAATACAGTTTGCCCTTAAAGTTATCAGGACCTGTAATAAATTGAGCGGCACAATGATCCAACTCGAACCATGTTTGGTCATTGGTATCTACGTTTACTTATGTGTGAAATGCGAATCTATCCTATTATCTATCTTTTGTAGTTTGGTTTTTTATTCCATCCCTATCCAATCCCATATATATTTATCTACGTAATGTCAAATGTGTTATTGATTTTGCAACATTTTATTATTATGTATTTCGATGGGCTCGTGGCTAAGGTTAACATATTGCCAAGCTAAACAATCATAGTCAGGTCAGTCTATGGATGAGTGACCATTCTTAACACATTCAGACCCCTCCATGCCTCGCAGAGAATATTAAGCCGTCGCTCCCGGTTGCCTTACGAATATCTGTGGCTATGGTTACGGATAGTTAAGCCCTAAAAAGTCCATCAACAGTCATTCTACAGAACTTCAATATCGCCTAGTCTACTACGATACGGTTGAACTTCGATTTTTCACGCGGAACGGCTTCTATTAGACCTCCACAATAAGCGCGAGTCTCCGTGTAAAAATCGAAATTCATGCGTATCGTTGTAGATTTAAAGCTGACTCCAACCTGGTTGGGAAAAAGACCGGAGAAAGGAAGTTTATTTTTTCAAAACGTGTAAAAGCATGATACTCTGAATATAATTATATTTATATTCTATTTTACAGATCTCTTCGTTGGCCTGATATACGTGTTCCCTGATATCATACAAAAAATCACCATAGCCTGGTTGGCAGGAGAGTTTATGTGCAAGACTGTAAAATTTCTTCAGGTAACATTAGTTAACAGACTACACATATTTTTCATAATTTATAAGAAATTCAATTATATTCTAATTTGTCTTTAACTTTGAAAAAACACCGTTCGATAAGTTTCTGCAGCTTATTGGTGATCCATCACGTTCCTTAGTTAGTGAATCCTTTTTTTGCCAGGAACAGATTATTAGTTCGTCAATCAATGATCGTAAATGTACGATTAATTTTATTCAACGTCAACGTCACAATCGACTGAGTCTTATTTTGTGCCATTGAATGTAAACAAAGTTTTAGGAGTGAGTGACACGCTTAATTCTGAAACAATACTGTCTTTTGGCTTTTTCAATTAATAAATGAATGAATCAAATTATGGAAGTTTGTTATTGGTTATACGATTGGTATATTTTGATTCTATGGATTGATCAAACTATGATTTATACTGTCTCCAACTCTTTGTGTTACTTTATAGCTTCAAACTCACTATTCGAACTGAAAAAGCGGGCATAAGAGTTTGCAAGAGTTTTAGTACACGTTAAGAAAAAGTTGTTGATGACTCCTATAAAAATTGAAGAAAAGAATCATAAGAGCGGTGACGCACTACCTCTGATCCGAATCCGTGAAAATACGGTCCGAAATAGTCGTAGAACTATTTCTATGGTAGTTTACGAACTACATCCGGCATCCGTCATCCGATTTCTTTCCGTTATCCGTGAATCTACATTCCGGACAAGATTATTGACGGACCATATTTGTAATAAATACCAACAGTGAGTAAACTGTTTTGATAGACCACTAAATACCTACAAGACTGTCTCAAAAATATGCAAGGGTTGTAACAAAACCGTAGCAGTAACTAGGTAAAAATAGTACCTGCATAATTTAACTATATTTTACCTGTATAACAGTATCTCGGGTTCCTATTCCGTTTAAAATATTGGATAAATGGATAAACAAATTATATATAACAGTTTAAAACTATTTATTGGAGAACATTTTATTACGTTTTTTTCGTTTCGTGATTTCAGCAGTTGATTGATATTATTGAGAAAAGATTTTGGTAAAATTGAATTCTTAGAACCATGTGATTGCTGCAGCATTCCATCACGCTATTAATGCAATTATATGTTATTAATATAGTTTTATGCAATATAATCAATAATATTATATAACCGGGTTCAGTCCAAGATTTCTAGATCCGTATTTTCACGGGTTATGATCGGACGTAGTGCGAAAAGCAATTTCCGACTTTAGCCTGAGATTTCTAGATCCGATTCGGATCCGAAATAGGACGTAGTGCGTAACCGCTCTAAAACAGCGAATATCGACTAGTTATAAATTAAAGTATAGGATACAACAATAATGAAAAAAAGGGTTATTAATTACACTTGTATTAAATTATAATTATTGTTTACATTTTTATTTGAGGATTTTGTTCCGACATGACCAAAGACTTTTTTAGGTTTTATTTCTTAAAATATCCTTCATTCAGTACTGATATAAGAACTATTTCACCTTATCCTTTAAAAATGTAACGAGGCGATTAAAAATTACTTTCCTGAAATATTTTTTAATAAAAATTGTGCCAAACAATTTCTGACAGTAAATGGGGACATAAAATAGTTCTTAAAGTCCAACATTCGAAATATGATTTGATAAAAGTTTCGTGGAACTTCATCCAAGCGAATCTTATATCCAATAAATAAGTCTCGGGTTCGTTTGGACTTGAAAGGATACCATCTGTGACCAATAGACGAAATCTGAATATTTCACTTTCTGGCAAATAGTATATTTATTATCCTAGGAATAGAATTCTCATTTTCTATTTTCTATATTAAAAAAAATACAAAATAGACTAACAGAAAGATAGCAAATTCATGGCTTTTGGTTTAATAAGAACACAATAAATTAATCTAAGGAGAGGCTTATGTCCAGCAGTAGACTGTTAAAGGCTGTTGATGATGATGATAATGAAATTAATCTTTGTAATACCAAAAAAAAAATTGTTGCTTAATATTACTTGTGATATGATATTATTACTATCCAATAGATAGACGTACCTTGGTTGAAAATATGAATGGTTACATAACACATACATTATAATAATTTGAACGTACTTTTTAAATTCGGGACATATAGTTGTGTACAAGTATTTCATGTAGATAAAATATTATAAGTTTTATAGTTAATAAAATGAAATAGTGTGTGTGGTAACGGATTTATATACAGACTGTCAGCACCCCTATTCATTCCCGTGGGCGTCGTAAGAGCCGACCGACTAAGGGAACAAACTACGCAGGACAACAGCACTGCTAAAAGAAGGAAAACTTGAAACAAACCATATACCAATCCGTCTGGCCAGCGTGGTATAGTCCAAAACCTCATTTCTAAGGAGAGCTAAGCTAAGTCTATGTCTAGCAGTGGACTATTAGAGGCTGTTGATACTAATGACCATTAAAAAAGAGGTTCATCCTAACTAATATTATTGATGATAAATTATAAAGGCCCATAGGGAATCAGTTTATTGATTAACGTTTATTATAAAAAAAAATACACATTTTTGTGTGACAAGATTAGAAGCAAAAACGAGTTTAATATATATGCGTAGAACGTATTTTACTTTACTTTATTTAGACTTCATATATACATGCTGCCCAACATTGGTTAGACCCTCTCTTTATTTCATAGAACCTCTATTTGTAAACTTACATCTATGTATCTCTTCCCGTTGACCGTTGATATTTGCAGGCTGTGGTGATGTACGCGTCCACCTACGTTCTTGTTGCTCTAAGTATAGACCGCTGTGATGCCATCACCAATCCTATGAACTTTTCGGGAAGTTGTAAGTGGTTTTTTTTTACATTTCATTAATTGTTTTGCTTCGGTGTGATTGATCATTAAAAACAATCTATAGTTAACTTTAGTTTGATTTGTTTGTTACTAACTGTATCTCTCCATATCTCTTCTATCGATTTATCAAATTGCGTAAGTTTGGAAGTGGTCACTGTAAGTAAACATTTATTGTGAACCTCATGTCACCTATAGTGGTTTTCACATCTGCTTTACACCCAGAAGGCTGCCAGTTCAATCCTGGCCTGAATCACAATTGGACACTGGATTTCTAATAAGTTTTTAGAAAAAAATTAAGAATGAATAAAAAAATATTTCTTTCTAATTATAGGGAATCGGGCAAGAGCTCTCATCGTGTCAGCATGGTTAATAAGTATTATATTCTCTATTCCACTTCTTATATTATATGAAGTCAAAGAAGTTCAAGGTAAGTAATTTGAAAATCTTTGATGATTACCACGTTATTAATTAATTCGATGTCTATCTTTAAAAATCATTAATTGTCTTTCAAAAACGAATTTGCTAGACTTGGTTTATTATATTAATTTTTAATTTTACATACAGTACGAGCAGTCTACTTGTAGCGTATCATGCTTGTTAGCCCTTATTTTCAATAGTTTAAAATTAAAATTTCAGCACTTTAATAATCATTTTAGGAGCAAAATAATTTTCCCACTTTAATTTTCAACGCCGCTGGTTTGAATTCATTTAAAAGTAATACACTTTATGACTGTTGCATTAAATATAATGTATTTTTAATACCCGTTACCCAAGGGTACATTATGAATATAAAAATTTACTGAATGTTGAATTTATTGATTTTGCTAATACCTTCCCAATTTTACTAAAATGAACTCCAAACGCAGCCTTAAGGACAAATTGAAGTAAAATGGGTCATTTTTTAAGGTGCGACCCCAAAAAGGTCTTAACAGCTTGGGTAATGTAAAAAACTGATCCAGTTTGATATCCTGACCCACTTTTGTCTATACAAGGAAAAAAAATACTTAGATGACTTCGATTTTCCTCAATGAAGTTTTATCATTTATAAAAAAAAGCTACTTGTATAACTGTTAATTGGGTCATTTGTTACCCAAAGAAAAGAAAATTAATGAATAGGGAAAAAAAGTGTTCCTTTCCGGATCATAAATATTCATAATGTCATCACCACTGTGTTTACCCATGACTAAATTCATTAGCAATTCTTATTTTTTTTAAGAGAACAACTAGTTAACAAAACATTAAACAAGCTTTCAATAGTTATATATTATTTTATAAATACTAATTGTTATATAACTAGAAGGAAGCTATAATTCTCATTACGTGGTCCATACTATACAACACTCAGAGTAAACAATATGATAGTATATATGACCAAAGAATGATTTGCTTTGAGATTTGGTTTTGGCATAACTTTTTTTAATGAATTTATAAGTTAATAGGACTAGCTGTACCCTGCCACGCTTCTTTGTGGCATATTGTGATTGCATTAATGCGAAATGAGGAACAAAACTGATTCGAAAAATAGATAAAAACAATCCTTGAAGCGGGTCAAAATTTGACCCCATTGGGTGCAGAACTTTTGAGATTTTGAAGCGTACACTAACCAATTTAACATGTTTATTTATATAGATTTAATTTTTTTGAGATGACCAAAAAGTTACATCAGTAATAGTTATTATTTTATTCGCTTTTTTTATTTTGTAATAACTTATGCAGCTGACATACTTACGATATAATTATATTTGCCTAAAGATTCTGGCCTATTAAAGACCTAAGGATTCTGTAGAAATTTACTTAATATTCTTTTTTTAAAGTTAATGAAATTATCTTTCACAGGGATAGATTCTTGTCTATTTTAGTCTCAAAGACTTATTATCAAATTTAAATTACAAAAAAAAATATCGACATGTATTTCTGTACCTATATTAAAATAAAATGTCACAAAGTTGTGTTTAAATTTTATTAACTATTTATTTTGCTAAATAACTATGATATTTTTGTAGGTCAAGTACAGTGCTGGATAGAACTGGGTACTCCTCGGCGGTGGCAGATTTGGATGACACTAGTGTCTATAATGATTTTGGTGCTACCAGCGTTGGCAATTGCTGCATGCTACGCTGTCATAGTACTTACGATATGGACTAAAAGCAAAGCAGTCGTTATGAGCCCACCTGTAAATTCTAGAAGAACGAAAACTCTAAGGAACGGTATGTATCTGTATCACTTATATAAAGCAGATAAAATTTATATTTAGGTTTATACTAAGTAAAGGAAATATTGCAATTACGAGTAAAACTTACTTTAAAGTAATAGTGTTATGTTAGACGACAGTCCCTTCAAATGCAGTAACTTTTACAGAAGCTATTGTACATTAGCTAATTACTCGTAGATTTGCTTCAAATTTTGTACTTTTAATTCTCTTTTAGGCCATACTAATCAAATCACTTTTTACTTGGAGCTATTACTCTGCGTCTTCTACAAAAAATCTGGTACCAGTTATCATATTACAGTTACTATTCTATTCTCTATTTATTCTCTATTTTTTTTCATATGTTTCTTAAACCTGCTATTCGTCTAGTCTTTTATATATTCATACTTCGTTTTGAGTGTAAAACAATAAACTACCCGTTGTCTTTTAAAACTATTATTCAGTTAATGTTTGGTTGAACAATAAATTCATTCAAAAATTTGAATTTTGTAAATTATGCAATAACCGAAGTGTTACTGTATAACTGTTGTATTAATGTTGTCATATTTTGATATTACAACATTATTTAAAGCCAAACAAGATACATTTAGTTGTTTTAGATAGATACAGGTAAATTAGCTTGGAGAAAATTTTGCGTTTGTAGTAGTGGACAGCGTAAACTGGTTTATTCTGGTTTTGTGCGTGTTTCCACTTTCCACTATCAAGTGACGATTTTTTGCTTTAGATTGAAATATCTCGGAAACGGTGCGTCCCGTGGAAAATTTTGACCCCCCCGTAGACACCCCGAAGATTTAAAAACCTAGATGAAAGGAAAAAAAAAAAAAAATTAATATCGGTCTCTCCTCTTTGAAGTTTCACTTCTATCGTGTGTGAATCACACACACACATTTTTTTTTATAAAGTCAAAACCTTTTTCTTTAAAATAAAAACTTGTTTTTATTGAAAACAAAAATCAGAGTGTTGCTAGGGATAAGTATAAAATTAAATAGTAATGTTAGGATATCGAAACATTTTTGTATAGGCCAGAACGATATAGTGGAAACGCGCTCTAAGATCTGAGTAATATACACACCACTACATATGCAAAAATTTCTCGAGACTAATTTCACTGTACGTGCCATTTGAAGATCATTGAAGTTAAAAAATAAAATATAGTAAAAAAACTTTTTCTTTCTCTTCACAAATCTTACAAAGTCCTATAATTAAATATATAATTTACGCTATTCTCTTAAATGGTAACATTTAAGAGAATGACTATATTAAAGTTAAATAAAATACTGATCAATATTTATCTTTAAAACTCGAAATCAACTGACAAAGACAAAAATACAAGGTATTTTTTTTTTATCGTTAAAATGTAAGCAAAAACAGATACATCTGACATACGCCAAATAATCCTCTGAACCTAATTAACAAGTTTTGGCATTTAACGGTTTGTATATTTAATATTTTCAGGTCAGGTGGAAAGTGACCCGGATTCACGCCGAGCCAGTTCTCGGGGTTTGATACCAAGAGCGAAGATCAAAAGCGTCAAAATGACATTTGTTATTGTTTTCGGTTGGTATATTTAGCTTAGATATTAATAAGTTTAGTTACGCTCCGTTTGACTGACAAGCTCAAGTTTAATTTAAAATCATTGTTTCAATAATAATGTTAATTCTATTTTCTCAGTAACTAGATCAGCATATATTTAACAACAATGACATAAATATAAAGTTACCCAACACTCACCTAAAAACAAAATTACATTTCGTAATATTAGATATCTAAAAAATCTATGAATTTTTTTAAATTAAATCTTCAGATTAAACCTGCCAGTGATTCTCTGAAGTTTGAAGGTTATAGGACTAGTAAAGTTATTACATTGCTTAGTAAAAAAATTGACAACAAATTTACAAAGTTTCTGGAGTTTTATTTTTTTAAATTATTTTAGACACTTAGTCCTGAGGTTTTACTTTTTTTGTTTACAGTGTTTGTAATGTGTTGGGCTCCATACATCGTGTTCGATCTTCTACAAGTATACAACCACATACCTCCGACACAGTCCAATTTCGCTATAGCCACTCTTATCCAAAGTCTGGCACCGTTAAATTCTGCGGCGAATCCTTTAATATGCTGTATGTTCTCACCGCATATATATACAAGCTTAAGGTTTGTACGTCTGATATATTATGTTAATAATTTATGTAGACGATTTTGTAATTTTTTGGTTAACTAAACATGCAAATAATATGTGCCATGTCCAGCAGTGGACGTCTCTCGGCTGCCTTGACGATATATTTAATTAAATACACGGTGAAAGGGACATCGTAACGAATACTGAAATAGTGTATTCACTATACAGACCATCATTCTGAGTCTAAAGTCATTGGAATTTTCTGACGAAAAATTATTATTTTTAGCCATTCAGCTGTCAAAGGTAAAGGTCATTCCCATTGACATCCGAACGATACGCCCCGCGCACTTGGCTGTTTGATTTATTACATTGCAGTTTTTGACCGTATGCGGTATTTATTGGAACGAAGTTCCTTATCGCGCGTTGTGAAAGGGGGCTAGACGGAAAAAAATCATACGAAAATTTGGAACGACACTTTTAATATAAATTGACGTCTAACTGTGGATACCATACATTAAATTTGCTTTAACGTTCGCCAACGTCCATACCATGTTGAATATAAAGGTTCTCGTCCGATAACCGAAGTTAAGCAACATCGGGCGTGGTTAGTACTTGGATGGGTGACCGCCTGGGAATACCACGTGATGTTGGCTTTTTGCTCTTTATTTTCGTGTCATCTTGTCAGACATTCAGCGCCATCTATCGAATAGATAGGAAATCATTTCGCAAGGAGATTTTACCAATGTATAAATTGTTTTAATTGTTTTTAATATGTAGGTAATAGCCGCTTTCATAGATGGCGTTGTAATTAAAATCGTGTCAAATCAGTTTTACTCGATCGTCACAACTTCGTTCCTATCGGGTGTCCCACGACACCACACGGCTTTTTAATTTGTTGTCGGTGAAATCTTCTGTTTACTCATTGTGATATCATTTTTAACCAAAGAAATGAAAATGATTAAAAAATGATTAATGTTTCGGCAGAAAATTCCAATGATTTTTGACTCAGAATTATGGTCTGAATATACTGTTTTAGTATTCATTACGATGTTCCTTACTGCATATATTTTTTTCATGCAATGTCTCGTATCATAATAATAAAAGGGGTTAAAGTATGAAATTGCCGTTGTATAGTAATAGATACTTTGAATTGACATAAAACCTTCATGGTGTGAGATTTTCGTGTGAAACTTTTTTCACATGATACCTATGAGGTTTTTCAAAATATGCAACATTCGATTTTCGACTTTCAATGGTTTTTTTGTTCAGCTTTGGACGTGAAAGATTGATACTTCGAAAATCCGAGTCCTTTTTAATACGAGGTCCGACGCGGCACTAACGCATCAGAAACGGCTCGCAATATCAACGCTGCGTTTGGAGTGGAGCTGCTAATAAAAGCACTGTGCGTTTTTTGTTTAAACGTGTGTGCGTTATGGTAAATTCGACTTGAAGAACGAACCACGTGGAAAACCACACACACAGGTGAATAACGCTGTATTGAAGGAGATGATTTAAGCCGAGCCGACTACCCAGGCATTAGCGGCATGGTATAACGTTACCTATGATATTGACTCATTTGCATCAAATCAATAAGATAAGAAAAAAAATGGGTCCCCATGATTTGACTGATCTGCAGAAAGAAATGCGTGTTGAAACTTGTGTTGCCTTGTCGAATCGGTACAGAAATAAAGGAATATTGGATCGAATTGTAACATGTGACGAAAAATGGATTGTTTACAATAACCGTAAGCGAGAAATGCAATGGCTGACAACAGGTCAAACGTCGCAACAGTGCCCTAAAGCAAGGCTTACCATTAAAAAGGTGATGGTAACTGTTTGGTTGTCTCCTCATGGTGTTATTCACTATAGCTTTCTTAGGTTTGGTCCGGCAATAATAGCAGATGTTTACTGTGCTGAACTTCGAACAATGATGGTGAAACTAGCAGTGAAACAGCCCCGACTAGTAAGTCGATCTACACCATTATTGGGATAACGCAAGACCTAACGCTGCACGAGAAACCTTTGTAGGAGCTGCAGTTATTAACCACACATCATCCTCCGTTCTCGTTTCGTGATTTGAACAATTTTCTACGTGATTAAAAAAATCTTGCCAGGAGGCAGTACAAAATGCTTTTACATAGTTTGCCGAATCTAGATCCCCAGAGTTCTATCGTAAAGGCATAAATAGACTTCCGTTTAGATGGCAGCAATGTATAGATAATGTTTAATTAATATTTTGATTAAATAAATATGTTACATCTTCAATTTTTTTGTCCAAACGGCAATTTCATACTTTAACCCCTAATAAATATTCTAGGCTTGTAGTTCAAAACCACATCACGCATATAGGTCCACTTACAATTGTTTAACATGTCACAAAGTAATTCATAAGTCCATTATCTAAAAGATTACGTTACTCTCTTAAAGCATTTACACAGTCAGAGTTTACATTTTACACTTAACAATAACTCATCACAACAATAATGACAATTTCAGACGAGTAGCTCCGTACAAGTGGGTATAACTTTGATTGCAGACGAATACCGCCGTACAAGTGGCTGTGGTGGGGGAAACGGATGAAGAGGCATACGAGAGGAACTGTACGCTCAAGGTCCGACTCCACTGCAAACTCGGACCTGCTGAGTTCTACACACGCAAAGAGATCACATTCAGTCGCAACGGTATTTATTTTTACTTTACTTACTTTTGAAATTTTAGTTAAAACATATTCGTTCAATGTTTTATTAAAGAATTTCATCATCAACTTTTCTCTTTGAATATATTTCATTTGGAATTTGCTACTTTTGAAATTTTTCCTAAACGCATTAACCATCTTTATTTATTATTATTAAACATGTCCTTACTTTTTTCGGTGGAGTAATTGGCTAGTTTGGTCAAATTACTTAATCCACTGATTGCTATTACCTAATAATCGAAGTAATGTTTACGTCTTGTTGTTATTATTTAGTTTTATTAAATTATAAAGTTTTGCATATTAAGTGTGTGGTCTGTGCATGGTCGTACATTTAAGTTAATAATCATCATCATCAGCCTATCGCAGTCCACTGCTGGACATAGGCCTCTCCCAAGTTAATAATAATAATAATCTTTATTTACTTTAATTTTTACATTTACACTTAGCTTAAGCGCTGAACATAATACATAATATGAACAGGTACAACAGAGCATAAGTAATAATATGATCACAAGTACCAGTCAGTAACGACAGACTCCTAAACTAGGTAAGAAACCTGTATCTTAGGAGTCGTGTAATTTCCAGATAGTAATTTTTACAATTTCATAGATCTACTCAATAGGATGCGCGCAGCAACAGTAATGGAGAACATGGAAAAATATTATGTGTTATGTACATGGAAAAATATTATAATCATTATGAAAATACAACGCAAAAACACTACCTTAAAGTTTAAAAAACATTTAACAGGAATATTTCAAACTGTCTATTAGTGTGTCAAAGATGGGTGTACAAGACTTACTATAAATAATTTATGTAATTCAGTTCAAGGTTTTTTGAATTTATAGCTTCTAAAAATACTGTTTTTATTTTATTTCAGATACTCAACCGCACCCGAAGCAGCAGTGTATCGCGGCCGTCGCAACCTGACCCACGCCGCACACAACTGCTTGTAATGGTGTCAGCACGCGACTGACAGCGCGCCGTCAACGAGCCGCCTCGTGACGTAATGCTCTAGCGCCAACACTCGGCGTGTACGCACATGCACGCTAAGTTTTACGTCTAATTAAACTACGGTTGAATATGGACTGAAATTATAAATGGACATTTAATATTCAAAAGTGATTTTTCTGTCATTGTTATGTTGACGAGTATAGTAAAGTAATATTTTATAATTAAATTAAGTAAACGTAGGTTAAAATTTAAAAATACAAAGCGTATTAGGCATATATAATAAAACTTTGTGTGTTTATTTGTTGCTAAAGCATGTATACTAATATAGACCTGACCAGACGACTTCAGTAATATAACGATACGTCTATTCAACTTTCTGGGACCTTAGCCAAGATGTAAAAGTAGCTTAAAGATTTATTGTTCCATTTTAGATTTACATTATTGTTCCTCTAAATGGTAACAGTAGAAAGTGTAAAGAATGTGCAGTAAGAACATAATTATGATGCATCTAGCCGTTTCTTGTTATAAAGAGGTATACTTTTATATTTAGGGAACGTACTGAAATTTCATCGTCTGTATTCGGTCCGAGTAACTGCAGATTTAGGAACAATCTATTACTTATAGTATATAATAAGTATTGTCTCAAATATATCCATTGTTTTTTTTATTTATTTTCCATAGGCATAAGTTAATTAGGACTTATTTAAAGGATTAATATTTTAAATTCTAGTCACGCTTCATTTCTTTTTTATATACCAGTATTTTTTTTTGTTTTTTTTCTTGATGATATTGACATAATTAAAAATAGCCAAATTTGAGACACGTAGGTTCGTTATTTACTTTATTTTGATTATTTTTAGCAATATTACTACCTACTTTGAATTATTGATTGAAATTACAGCTTTACAAATACAGTAATTTGTCTTTGGTAGTATTAAAAACAAAGAAAAGATTAATTTTGTTACTTGTTAACGGTTGGAACCAGTTGTCTATTTTGCTACGTAGTTTTATCAACTGAATAACAGAAATCATTATTTTAACTTGTAGAAAATAACTGGACGACACGACTGTGAAACCTTTATAATGCCAAATAAAAATCTGAAGAGTCGTTATTTATTTTTATGATAAGTTATTGATTTAAATAACATCTCTTCAGAATTTAATTCTTTTCTAAATTAAAACTAGTTTGAAAGCCAAGGTTATGGAAAGTACATTTATCTTCAGCCTAAATTGTAGAATATCTAAGTACAATATTATCAAAAGAAAAGCTAAAATACCGTCCTTACTAAATTCACTTTTTCATACATTAAAATAATAGGTGTACAATTTGTGAAGAACAAGGAAAGGTAAAATTATAAACGAAAATTTAGAAAATATACATGTACGCCCAAGTTAAAAAGGAAAAATTAATAATAATAATAAGGCGTGTTCGTTCGTTTTCCTGTACATAAGGAGGTAAAATAGGTAAATTAGTGAATAATTTGAACTACGAGTACAATCTAAGCAAAGATCTGAAATCGAACTCCTTGGTATAAAGTGCGATGAATTATTTTTTATTAAGAGATTATGAATTATTATTAATATTTAATATTGTAAAGAACTGAAATATGCTTACAATATGTGAATATCGTATGTTAAATTTAAATTAACTTTACAAAATCAGTACCCGTTTAGCATAAACTTTGTATTCACAATTAAGAATATTGTGAAATATATTTATAATTAGTAAAACTTTACATAGTAAGTAAATATTATTTTGTACATTGTAAAGAGGCTTTTATCTAATCATGTTGCTAAGAAATAAAATGTGTACAATTATTTTTGTACTGTGAATGAGAAACTGTAAAAATATGTTTACGTAATGTCATATATTATTTATATAGAAGCTATTAAATGTCGTGCAAGTGTTTTTGATTATTTTTTTATATACCTAAATAAACCCTTTACTCAGTCTTTAGGGTATTATGGTTGAAGGAAGAAAAAAAAAAAAAAATTGACGATGGACTGTAAAATAAAGTCCACGAAGTTTAATAATTGAAATCCGTGTCCGTGTGATGACAGATTAAGAATACGGAGTGTCACCACCCCAATTTATCCAGTGGGTATCGTAAGAGCTGACTAAGGGAGCAAACTATGCAGGACAACAGGACTGCAAGCAGAAGGAAAACTTGACACAAACCCTATACCGCCAAAACCTCCTTTCTATGGGGGGCCTATGTCTAGCAGTGGGCTATTAAAGGCTGTTGATGATGAATCATTGAAATTAAAAAAAAAACTTTAAAGAGGTCGGTAGAGAGAGTATTATTCACTTTAAAGAGTTTTAGCTTGACCTTTCGGATTATTTTTGTATTGAATAATATTACTTATTACAAAGAAATGGAATTGTAAATTTCTGATATACTAGTAACGCCATCTCTCCCACAACTGCTGAACTACACCAGCGTAAAGTAGTCTCACATTGTCTTTTCCTCTGACAAACATCAAACACGTTCGTTGTCGAGTCACCATGCTAAATCTGGATAGATTAGATAAATAAAATAACGTGTTTACGTATTTGCTGTACATGAATATCCCTGGATTGAGCAACACACATTCAGAAACTGCTACGGTGGTGAATCTAGTTCAAGGACCAAAAAAGCAAGACGGTTGAAACAGGCCTGAGCCTTGAGAGGCTCGAAGGGACCGAAGCTACTGTCAAAGGAACATCAAGTGACACTATGACTAACTGTTAAAGTAGGCATGTGTCTTTACAATATAAACGTACTTGTTACCTAACAAAAAAGATATTATAGTTGTATACACTACAAAAATAAATTGATTAAACTACGTCCTTTATTTTGCTTTCATATAGTTTTATCACGTTATTTGATACAAGTTAGTATTCGATCATTACGACATGGTTTGTTTTCTTTGTTTCCTTGTTTTTGAATTAACGAGTAGCAGCTAAGAGCAAAATATGTAGAATATTCAAAATTAATTTGTCTTTCTCGACTAAAATGTTAATGTTGTAAAATTCTATTCTGTTCTGAATTATTAATAATAATTAAGTTTCTAAGCAACACAGATTTCATATATTTACAACCTCTTTTGTACTTTCACAAGAAATTTAGATTTGCGATAAGAAAGACAGATTGACTTGTTTTTCACACAGAGTAAACTTTCTTCAGGAGCGATAAATTATTAATATTGATGTTATGCCGTGGTTTATTTCTGTTATTTCATAAACATTATGAGAGTGTCCCCAGTTGCAAATATCAATAAAACTACATATTCTATTATGGAGCATTTCATTTCGGAATCGGAACAGAATCGTCTTAAAACCGTGTAGTTTATTTTGTTCCATGATTGCAAGGATTATGTCTTAAGAATTCTCTAAGAGCGAAGCCTCAGGTATACTCGTAGTATGGTAACAGTATCTAACATGTTATTATTCCATACCATTGTGGACTCAACTTACTCAGACACTAAAAGTATTTCTCTTTCCATTCACAATGAAACAGTATTTCTCCCTGTGTGGGTCACATATTCGCGTCGCAAGTACTCACTCATTAATATTTATATGCTCACTTAGATTGCAAGCTTTACTAGCACGGAATGCAAGTCGGTGTTGCACTGCTGACTGCAATGTCGTTGACCCCAGAAAGCTTGTATGTTACACACGTAAACTAAAATGAAGGTAAAACTGTGACAATTTTTTTTTTAATGGAACTACTTAAGCTCTGGTGTCTACTAACCACTTGAGTTAGAAACGTGTTTAAATCGGTAGCCTTACTCAGTAGCCTTATTCTGTTATTTGTTATTATATCTATTATTTATCTCTATTATATTTGTTATTCTATTATTATTGCTGTTATAAATACTTAGGGCATAATGCAAGTTTCTGGATTCGTATATATAAGACTAGATATAAGACTACATACATTTACTGACTATATACATTTATTGTTTTTCTAAGTATATAATGCATTTTCGCATTCACTGAAACCATGGTTTGTACCATGGTTTCAGCAGTTAGACCAGTCTTCCTTAGGGACCTCTTCAATGGCCTAATGAAACGCATTCACCGTCGATTCAGGGCTCGTAAAACTTGTGCCTCTAAGTTTGTCTTAAATTTTTGGCAACAAAAAGAAGTCGCAGGGTACGAGGTCCGGGCTCTAAGGCGGATGCGTCATTGGTTCCACATTTGAAGCCTTCAAATAGGCTTCTGTTACCTTTGTGGAATGTGAGGATGCGTTATCGTGGTGAAGGATTACATTGCTACGAGGACGCTTTTTTCGAACTTTTTCTAAGACTCCGGGCAAGCAAGTGTTGACGTACCAATTTGCAGTCACTGTCCTTTGATCTTCAAGCGATACTGTAGTGTAATATCCTGATTTCCCGAAAAACGAAGCAACCATTTTTTACCAACGCTATGACTTTTCTTAACTTTCGTTCTGAATTTTTAAAAAAGAAAGACCCACTGCTGCTGCTGCTGACTGGCTTTTTCTTTCGGGTTCAAAGGTGACCTGTCACAATATTATAGACAGCCAATGACTGTCCTCCGTTAAACTTTTAATCATTTTACGGCACCACTGAACACGAAGTCGTTTCTGGTCCTCCGTTAAGTCATGCGGTATTCATCGAGTGCATAGCTTCTAACCTTTAGATGCACATGTAAAATGTTTTGCACTTGGCTCATTCCATTTGCTGGATAGTAATTTTTTGTAAGTTTCAATAAGTTGTCGTACGGTGTCAATATTAGAGTCTGTAACCGCAGTCGGCGGCCGACCTTACGTCACTTCACATGATCACGTCCACGTCTAAATTATCCAAACCACGATGCACATGGTGTTTCATTACCAATGCCAATTGAAGTCCCTAGCAACTCTATTGTTGACTTAAGCCACAACGAAATTCATAAAAAGTTCACGAGTTAAATTCATTTTGATAGCGATACACAATTTTCGAAAGGAAAAAATATATGACAGCCTCGCAAAATTAAAAAGTAACAGGATCCCAAAGAGTTCCATTTTCTAATTCCAT